TGGAGGAGATGAGAAGGACCAACGTCCGACGAGCCATGCCTGCCTGCTACGATTGAATCGCAGAGGACCAAAGTCCTCTGTGCTCGCACGATTTAAAGGCACTGCTCACAAATGAAAATTTCTTGGAAACTGATTTTACTTTCTTTTTTTCTTTTCAAAATGATTAAATACTTTTCGGGATTTTGGGCATGGAATTGGCGGCCGATTGAATTAAAGCCGTAAAAACTGACTCCTTTTCTTTTTGGGTTGCGCATAAATTAACTAATTGGTCCGCAGCACGTCAGGTCAACGGTTGATTAGGAAGGAGTGAGAAGAAAATCCTTGGAATGTTTGCTATATACGGGCTTCCAGCCATTATGAAAAAAAAATATTTTTCTCAATTACTAAGACAAAAATATTTTTCCCATGTTAATTCATTTTTTTTAAAGTTAAATATGTTAACCGCATTTTACATAAACTAGAATAGAAGTTATTAATGCTTGGTTTTCAAATTTCCCTCCTACCTGTTTTTATTAAACTCTTTATGATTTTCGGAATTTAGGGATCCAAGCTGCCTTTTTTCGTTACATAAAAATTGTTAATGAAATCTCCTCTCAATGCTAAAATCAATAGCATAATGAAACTTTAGTAGTAAACACGTAGCCTAGGTGAAGCATCAATTAAAGGAACTCATGTTGAAGGTAACACAAGTGATCCTTGGGAAATGCTAGGAGAAATTTCTACACTCATGTTCCAGCCATCAGAAACTAAAGGGAGCCAGAGCCCGAGCACGGGCATCACTGTAATTCAGTCTCTTCCATAGTTCAGAACAATTGGTTTTCCAAAAGCCAATCTTATTGTTTACCCGATCGTAAGTCACAAGGGTATTACGTGTAACAATTCCTATACAATTCAACAAATACCAAGTGACCATGGGAAGGGAATTTGTTATGTGCAAAAGAATTGAGAACATGTTATAAAATAAAATAATTAGAGTATGGAATTACCACTGAAAAATGATAGTGGAATTATATCTTTTCTTGTGGCGTTTGCACAGATTGAATCTCCTCTCAAATAGAAACTCACTCAATAGTATTCAAATCTCACTCTCCTTTTCTTTCTTCTCTTCTGATGGTGTACATTACAAATGAACGAACAGGCCTATTTATAGGCGCTTCTGAAGTTTTCTCGTGAGTGTACAGTGCAAAGTTTCTGCCTCAATTTCAAACCATCACTTTCATCCGTGAGTGTACAGTGAAATTTTTTGCCTCATTTTCAAACTTCATAATTGATTGTGGGCTCCACTTCCACTATTTATAACACTCCCCCTTGGAGACCACATATCCCTAGATTAGTTGCCTCATTAAAACCTTGCCTGGAAAAACCCAGTGGGAAAAAACCGAAGCGTAGGAAAAAGAGTACAACCTTACTTGGGACATTAGAGTAATGTGAAGTGCGCACATGTTGCCTCGTTAAAACCTTGCTAGGAAAAACCCAGTGGGAAAAACCCTAGTCGAAGGAAAAAGAGTACAACGCGCTTATGTCCTGTGTTAGAGGACTCTTGAATGCTCCCCCTGATTTTGCATGCTCCAACTTGATTGCTTGCAGAGTTGTCGTAATCCGATGCCATGTACTAGCTTCTGGAATGTGCACTTGGGTAAAGACTTGGTGAAGAGATCTGCCAAGTTATCGCTTGAACGGATTTGTCTGACTTTGATTTCTTGATTCTTCTGAAGCTCATGCGTGTAGAAAAACTTTGGTGATATGTGCTTGGTCCGGTCACCCTTGATGTACCCTCCTGTGATTTGAGCAATACAAGTTGCATTGTCTTCATTTAGAATGGTTGGAGTGTCCGTTGCTGAGGGCAAAGCACATGTGCTTCGAATGTAATGAATCATTGATCTTAACCAAACGCATTCACGACTGGCTTCATGGAGGGCAAATATTTCTGAGTGATTGGAAGATGTGGCTACCAACGTTTGCTTTGTTGAGCGCCATGAGATTGCAGTTCCTCCACATGTAAATACATACCCAGTTTGTGAGCGTCCTTGATGTGGATCAGAGAGATATCCTGCATCAGCATACCCAACAATACTCGGGGCATTGGTCAATTCACTGGAATAGAATAAGCCCATGTCGGTCGTTCCACGAAGATATCGTAGAATATGTTTAACACCGGTCCAATGTCAACTTGTTAGAGCAGAGCTATATCTTGCTAACAAATTTACTGAAAATGCTATGTCAGGTCTGGTACATTGTGCTAAATACATTAAAGCACCTATTGCACTAAGATATGGTACTTCTGAACCAAGGACCATTTCATCATCCCCTTTTGGGCGATATGGATCTTTCTTAGTGTCGAGCGACCAAACGATCATCGGAGTGCTAAGTGGATGGGCTTTATCCATGCCAAACCTCTTTAATACTTTTTCAGTATAATTTGATTGATGCACCAAAATTCCATCAGCACTGTGCTCAATCTGTAGGCTAAGACAATATTTTGTCTTTCCAAGATCTTTCATCTCAAATTCGCGTTTGAGATAATCAGCAGTCTTTTGGAGCTCTTTAGGAGTTCCAATTAGATTCATATCATCAACATAGACTGCCACTATTGCAAATCCAGACTCTGATTTCTTAATAAACACACATGGGCAGACAGGATCATTTGTGTATCCTTCCTTCAGTAAATACTTGCTGAGACGATTATACCACATTCGCCCAGATTGTTTTAACCCATATAATGATCTTCTCAATTTGATTGAGAACATGGCTCGTGGTTTATCACTGGCTGCATCGGGCAGCTTAAGTCCTTCTGGGACTTTCATGTATATGTCTGTATCCAACTCTCCATACAGATATGCGGTAATGACATCCATAAGTCTCATTTCAAGTTTTTCTGAAACCGCTAAGTTTATCAAGTAACGGAACGTAATTGCGTCCATTACTGGGGAGTATGTTTCCACATAATCAATTCCAGGCCTTTGTGAAAAACCTTGCGCAACAAGTCGTGCTTTATACCTTGCAATCTCATTGTTCTCATTGCGCTTTCTTGTAAATACCCACTTGTAACCTACAGGGTTCACATTAAGTGGGGTTGGAACAATAGGTCCAAAAACACTCCTTTTTTCCAAAGAGTCTAATTCTGCCTGGATTGCATCTTTCCA